GAAGGAAGGAAGGAAGGAAGGAAGGAAGGAAGGAAGGAAGGAAGGAGAGAAGGAAGGATGGAAGCAAAAGTGAAGAAAGGAAAGAGGTAGAGAAGGAAGAAAGGAGAGAAAGGGAAGGAAAAGAAAAGGGGGAGAAGGAAAGAGGTAGAGAAGGAAGGAAGGAGAGAAGGAATGAAGAAAAGGGAAGGAAGGAAGGTAAGAGGGATAGAAGGAAGGAGGGAAAGTATGAGAGAAAGAGGGAAGGAAGGTTGGCCACAGCAATGCGTGGCGGGTACAGCTAGTTATTAATAATATTACAGTATAATGTTATAGTACAATATAGCAATATATAATATTAAATAATAATATAATATATTGTATTTATATATAAGTTGTAAGCTGCTCTGAGTCCCCTTCGAGGTGAGACGGGCGGCATATAAATATCGTAAATAAATAAATACTATGGCATCATGGGAGCTGTGCTTTGACAAGGCCTTTATCTTTCTCTGTCAAAGGATGCTGGTTTCCCATCAAACTACAAATCCCAGGATTACACAGCACTGAGCCATGTCAATTAAATTAGAGATGAGGCCAATCATAGTTGAAGCAGCGTCCCCTATTGTTTTGGCTCAGCACTAAGATTCCCCTATTAAGCAAATCTAATGTGCACAAATCTGATGTGGAGGACAACCAAAGCTATCGAGCATCCAGGGTTGTTGGAGAGACCTTGGAAATTACCTTTTTGGCAAGGTAATTTAGCCAGAAAGGGTGAGCATTAGATTCGAGTAAATACAGTAGTTTTCAATCCTTTGCAGCCATGTCAAAAGAGGGAAAGCAGAGGAAGGGTCTCTCTCCAAAGGCCCGACGACTCACCAAATCGGACTCGTCGCCATCTTCCTCCTCTTCAACCGATTCTCCAAAGTCTTGATCCTCCTCGGATTCGCCGTCCACCATCTCCAACGGCGAGAGAAAAAGGAAACGATTACACAAAGAGCAAGAAGGTGCCCGCTTCGTAAACACACGGATCTGCCTTATATTGCAGCCGTCAAACTACGTTTTGATTTCTTTAATGGGAGAGAAAAATCAACCGAAGATACTAGAGATCTGAATGGAAGACCTTGCGTCGAGCTCAAATTTCTCCTTAGCTTTTAAGACTGACTTTCAGACTTGGCGGTTTAGGGTTACAGATTGTTTATAATTACACTATGCGACAATATTATTTTTGTTCCTGGATTGTAAATGTCATTTCCTAATTGGTTTTGTCATAAAAACATGGGGAAAGTGTATTAAACTGCAAAACCTTTGTTGTTGTGAGACATCCTGCTGCAGAGTTTGCTCTAGTTTTTCAATGAATATCTAGTTTTTCAAGGAATATCTCTTTGAGTCTCAACCAATTCAACCTGGTTTGTGGCGGCCACAAATACAAAGTTTCTGAACAACTACTTTCAAAGTAAAAACCACACAACTGAACAGGAAAAAACACTTTCAAACCAGGAACAGAACATGTTTTGAATTTTGTTACATAATTATTTTTCACATTCAAGTATTGCAGGACTACAATTCCCATCAGCTTCAGAAAAAACACTGAGAATGTGCAGGAGTTTTGGAAGCTGTAGTCAAAGAATATATGAGAAGATGGGGTTCTTCCTCCAAACATGGGGCTTTTAATTCGTCTCAGTGTATGGGGTGGCAGGATGAAGATGTCTATGTAATCTGTAAAAACATACACACACACACATCTATATAAATAAAAATGTAATGTTCGTTTGTGGGATTAACATAACACAAAAACCACTGGACAAATTGACACCAAATTTGGACACAATACACCTCTCAGGCCAACAAGTGACCATCACTCATAAAAACACTGAAAAACACAGCCGAAGGGACTTAAAAAGCCAAAAAATTAAAAAAAAACACATTACAGCGCATGAACAAAACTACTATACATGTATACACCTATATACACACACAAAACACATATACACAGACTGGGCCACAGCAATGCATAGTAGGGGACAGCTAGTACATATATATGCATGGGAGGCCCCTGTGGTGCAGTGGATTAAACCGCTGAGCTGATGAGCTTGTTGACCAAAAGGTTGCAGGTTCAAATACGGGAAGCGGCGTAAGCTTCCGCTGTTAGCCCCAGCTTCTGCCAACCTATCAGTTCGAAAACATGCAAATGTGAGAAAATCAATAGGTACCGCTCCGGTGGGAAGGTAACGGTGTTCCATGCAGTCATGCCAGCCACATGACCTTGGGGGTGTCTATGGACAATGCCAGCTTTTTGTCTTAGAAATGGAGATGAGCACCAGCCCCCAGAGTCGTAAACGACTGGACTTAATGACAGGGGAAAACCTTTACCTTTACACACACACACACACACACACATATATATAAATAAAAATGTAATGTACGTTTGTGATACCATCAGAACTCAAAAACCACTGGGAGAATTGACACGAAATTTCGACACAATACACCTAACAACCCAATGTATGTTCGCCACTCAACCCCC